CTTCTCTTTAAATTTGCTGCTTTTGAAGCATCATATCCCGTGCAGCTCTACAGTTCTAAGTCTTTGAAAACACCAGACTAGCACACTGCCACCCCTCTCTCCTTGGGCCCCTCTCACACAGAAATCCTGTCCAGGAGCAAGTCCTTAAACCCAGGAGACTTAACAAAGGAAGCTGCGCTCAAAGGTTTGCTTGAGACCTAGCTATAACTTAAGCTTCTCTTAAGACATCACAGATCAGTCATCAAGCAAGAACTTGCTCCTAAGAGGCGGGACAAGTCTGGGCTAACACACCAATCCCTCAAAGGCAGAGACGGGAGAACTTGCCTGTTCCACCAGCTCCACACATACCGTAAACAAAAATTATCGAGGAAATTGAAGGCCTTGGCTCTAGAGCCCTTTCCAGCACAGCAAGGCGGGAAGGCCCCAGGAACCAACCCAACCTGATGCTATTAGAGAGCCAGACAGCAGGACCATGTTCAAGCTTAGTTCAGACAGTGAAGGATAAATCCAGTTTCGATAAAACATACAGGCTAGGTAGGATGAAATAGTTACCAACTTCTTGTCTAGCTTGTTTTGAGGGAGCAGTAATAATTTTAAAGCATCTCTGGTCTCCCTCACCCTCCGGGCTCTCTCTGGCTCACTCCTTTGTCAGAGCATTTGGCTACCAGACTCGACACCTCACTGCCAAGTCATTTTTCTACAAACAGGCAGTGACTCTTCTGCTTTAAAACGCAAATCGATTAATTTCCCATTACTTGCCCAAACCTGCTTTACCTCATGGCTGTTCCCAGACCAGACCTGGCTGCCACTGAAGCATAATAAGCACTTACCAGTCTTCCCTGACCCCAGAGCCATACCTGAGAGCGCTTCCACTTGGCCATGTCGGAAACCATGTTTATCTCCTTTTTGGGGATCATGAAGTTCTGCTGGAGGGGAGGAGCCACCTCCTCAGAGGTGCCTGGGAGATGCAAAAAAGAGGTAAAATAGAGGCAGCGGAGAAGAAGAAATCTTCTATCTTCCTTTCTTAGAATTCAACATTCATTTCTCAGGAGACAGAAAGCAAACAAATCCATCCCAGCTTGCGCCATTATCTCACTAAGTCCTCCTCACCAAACAATATCCTCTCGATCCCCAGATAATATACTCCTAAGGACACTGTAAGGCTTCAGAAAGTGGCATTATGTTTGTTTTCACCACTAAAAATGAATTTCCCATCTGGGCAGGGAGGCTGGTGCAGGAGATAACAAAGAGAACATTCAGCTAGTTTAATTATTTCTGCCTAGCGAAGACAAGCCTTTGGGTTGTGCTGAAGCACTGAGCTCTCCTAACAAACTAACCGTGCCTTGTTTTTAGGGTGTTAAGCGTGAACTGCCTTCCTCTAAAATAGGACAATTCCTGCAAAGACAAAGCTGGAGCAATTCAATAGATGGCAGTCCAGAGCCGCAGCCCCTGGTCCAGGCAGCACAGGACACAGTCTCTTCCAGGTGGAAGCTATGAAGATCATTTAATTTTAAAGCTCTCTCAGAGCCCAGGATGTAATATTTAATGCAAATGCAAATTGTTAATACATTAGAGGGGCTCCTTTCCCCAGTATCCGAATCAAGGACCCAACCGTGCTGTAAGGATGATTGCTACCCCATGCTCTCCAGAGCTCTGCTCTCAGCCAGCAGTTCCACAACGGGACACTGCAGAGCCAGAAATGCTCCAGGAGGTTAGAGGTAATTTGCATTATGCTCCTATAAGTGCAACTTTTAATAGCAAGAGGCAGTGCAGCAGACCACTGTTAAGGGTGCTAATCTGAATTTATGAATGCTGTTAAGAGTCACCCAGTTCATCTTTTTAATTCTCGAAAATATGAAGGCATTTGCTCAGCACCAGCCACCCTGGCAACACTTCAGCAACTGCTGTTCACACTACAGCTAGCTCAGGTACTGGCTCTCTAACACACAGCACCAAACTCCAACTCCTTAAAACATTATTAGCAGCATTTACATCGAAAATACAACCCAGAAGCATCAGCAGCCTTTTCTGCAGCAGAGCAGTGCTGTCTAGCAGGCAGATCGGGGAAAAAAGAATCCAAAGTCCCAGGAACCACTCAGAGTCTGCTACAGAATTGTCACATAACGTTAGAAAGTCATTTAACTTCTCTGCCTTTCAAGTTCCCCATCTACAGAACAAACGCGGTCTCATCACCTGCCTAGGGTGTACAGCATTTGGTTTGTTCCTGCACAGAAGTTACAGTAAAACTTCCAGGTACAAAGATGAGAGGAACAACACGTGAGGAATTTAAATGAAAGACATGCACGCCTCTTCTGAAAATTCAGCACACAGCTCACAATGACTAGCATCATAATGATGGAGCTCTTACTTTAAAAGACCTTATAACATGAAAACAATTAAAAACTCCAGAGAAGTAGTGTAAAAAGGCAAACACCGACTCGTCCATTAACACAGATGATACATAAAGACCAGAGATGCAGCCAGGGCAGTGTCCTGGACCGGCGGGGATCCAAGTGTTAGCCCAACCTCTGTCTTATCACAGAACTCATTTCATCTCTTTGCATTTGTTTCTCAACCATTGCTTCTTCTGACACACACTTTGTGCGTTTCCTCTTGGGGAGGAGAGCATAGATAAGGAAGGAAACACGGTGAGGGCTGCAGGGGTTACAATATTATAGAACGAATATGTAACAAAAAGTCCAAAACCAATGATGCAATGCAGACAGGAGCAGAATGGGTCAGTTGTATGACGAGAAGCAACTTGGACAAAGGAGAACCTTTCAGTCTTACTCTTGTGGTGTGGGGAGGCGGAATCAAACCCAGTCACAAGATGGACCTTCTACACCAGCAAACATCACCCATCTCAGCAATGGGAAACGGAGTCACAAAAAATGGGCTACAGACGACAGGGAGCCCCGACTCCAGCTGCTCCGGCAGCCTAAATCCCGACCACCTCACCCCTGGGATGCACAGGATGGAGCCGCACACCCTGTCAGCCCTCACAGGACAGAGGTTCTCCCCCTGCCCCGTCCCCAGTCCCTCCTGTGGGGTGCAGAGCCCCCA